TGTCCATAATGAGGAGTTAGAGGTCTCTATTTATAGAAAAAATGAGTGAGGAGCTTGCTTGGTCATTTTGCTTCACCATGAAGAAACCTTGATATTTTCTCTTCCAAATGACCACTTGCTTGGCTTTTCTGATTGCTAGCTGTTTTCTTGACTTAATTGGCAAGTTTGTATGATGTTTTTACAGAGGAATCAATGCCTAGAGGCCTGGTAGAGTGGCTGGAACAGAAATGACTTTCCACCTCATGCTTGGAAAAGTCAAATATTTCAACTTTGGCAATGAACTCACCATTCTTATTTCCATGCTATCTCCTTGTTATTTCTTTGTTCTAACCTGCTAAGAATGATTAATATATCATATAGAAGGAGTTTGTAGCATTGAAATTGATCCACTTGAGTGCTAGAGGTGTTTTTGCAAAATTCATCAATGTGGGACAAAAGTGACAAATTGCCAACTTTGAACACATGTATCTCTCAGCTCATAAATCCCCTTGAGATGTACTTGTACTTTTTAGAAAGCCCTCACATAGTACTAAAACTTTCATGTTGGCCAGAAATCTTGATTCTATTTGAAACTAGGTGAAAAACCCCCTTGAAGTTGGCTGATTTTAGCTTTTAAGGTGAAAATAACTTAGAAATTTTCTAAGTTATTTTCCCTTCTAGGAATGTTTTTGCTTATATCTCAAAAAGTATGCATTTTCTGGTTGTGGACTAGTATGGGACTTTTGTAGGACTTGTCAAGAGCTTTCAAATGAGACTAGAACCAACTCAATTGGATGTGTGGTTAAGGAGATACGGTTTAGCCCTTTTCAAAACCCTAATTTCCCGATTTCTCGATTACTCTCTCATTTTTGATCCAATGACCATGAAAATTGATATGCAAGTCCATTATGACATAAGGAACAACTTTGATTCACAACTTGGATTCCAATTCTCAAAATTCGAGGAGTTGACTTTTCGGTCAACCGTACGATCGATCGGTGCCGATCGAGTCGCCTGTTGATATTCTGGACATCCTGGGACTTTGACACTTCTTGAATAGTCTTTAATAGCCTATATTAACTTCATGGAACTCACTCCCACCATTAAAACATTTCCCAACATCAAAGTCAAACCACAGTTGACTTTCTACTAGTTAAAAACCCTAATCGGGGCCTCCTGACTGCACTGTTCTTGATTCTGAAACGATTTCTTCAAATTGACTTCCCATTCGACTTTGATATTGTCTTTGATTTCATTCCATGATTGAATTGACCCAAATCATTGGTTGATCATTCCTTGATTGTTTTGAATTTGTCGGTGCGAGAACCCTGATTCATCTGTAACTTGACAATAATAAACTTGCACTGATTTAGGGTTAGATAATGCATGATCATGCTTCTAAAAATGGTAATGAGGATCTAAGGTGGTCAAAATTTGGGGTATGACAAATGTATTTATGCATTACTTGCATAATGGAATCTTCTAAACCCTCTAAAGTTGAATTTCTGTACTTTATACCACCTTTTAGAGAATCAATCAAAATACCTTAGCACCCTATTCAAAGCTTCCCAACAAGCATAACTAGGATTTAGCGTAAACTAACTTACTAAGCTAAATGCATATGTTAATTATGGTATAGTAAAAAGCGTGTCATATATATAACTTCCAACCTACTTGAATTTAGAGTACTCTTAATTATATTGTTCTCTTCCTCGATTTGTGAAGATTTCCTAACTGAAAGCTTTAGGTGATGAACCAAAGGAGTGTTTACGACTTTAGCATCATGTATTCTAAATAATTCTACCACTTTCTTAAAGTAACTAGATTGCAATAAGAATAATTCACTCTTCTTGTAATTTTTCATAATATATATCCCCATTATTTGTTTAGCTTTTTCAATTTCTTTCATCTCAAACTCACCATTCAAGGTCTCTTTGAGGTTACCAATCTCCTTCTTGCTAGACCTTGCTATCAAAATATCATCATTATATAGGGGGAGTGGGTAGAGAATAACTTTCTCATTCCTCTTCAATATTCATACACAACACCTTAAGGTTGTTCTATGTAGATTATATATTCAACGTATCCATGTAAAAAAGTTATTTTGACATCCATTTATTCCAACTCAAGACTATATTGATTTACAATTTTCATAAGTATCATTTTAGAACAATATTTTATCATAGGTGAAAATATTTCGTTGTATTCAATATATTCCACTTGAGTAAAACCATTTGCTACAAGTTTTTCCTTAAACTTTGGTTCTTCAATTTCTTGAATATCTTTCTTCTTCTTGAAGAGGCATTTGCATCCAATAAACATTTATTTCTTAGGTAGCCTCACAAACTCTCAAGTATGGTTCTTCATCAGTAAATTCATCTACCCATTGACCTCCATCAACCATGTTTTGAATATATTTACTTTTGAATGCTTCTCTCAAGGATTTTTGTTCGGAGTCTTACAATCCTTCAGTCACATTCAAAGCATCAGAAATAAAATGAAAATAACCTTACCTTTCAAGTGGTACAATCTCCCTCTTAATTATATCACAATTCAATTGACGATTAGAAGACATTGTATGCTGCCCTTTAATAATAATTGAAACATAAGTCTCAAATACCTCCTTATCTTTAGTCTCACTAGTAGGAACTTCTTTCTCAAACCGAGTCTCTTTCACCATAGTTTCATATTCTTTAACCTCCAATTTTCTTCACTTCATCCTCATACGAGTCTCATCAAAAACAACATCACTACCTATGATAATTTTTTATCCTTTAGGATCTAATTTCCACAGTTTATAATTTTTCACCTCTTCAGAATAACCAATGAAGACACATTTCACATACCTAACATCAAGTTTGTCTTGTTTGATATGATCAAGCTCCAAAGCTCAAAAAGTCTTCAAGTTTGAGTAGTCTATCGGTTTCTCACTCCAAACTTCTATATGTGTCTTGAATTATATTCATGTAGATGGAAATTTGTTAATAAAGTAAGTTGTTGTAGAAACAACTTCACCCAATAAACTCTTTGGTTACCTAGTTCCCTACAACATGCACCTTATTATCTCTAAAATAGTTTTATTCACAGGTTTTGTTAAGCCATTGTATTGAGGTGTGCAAACAATTGTCATATGCCTCATGATGTCTTGTTTCTTGCCATGTGCATTAAATTGTTTTGGAACAAACTCTAGATCATTGTTAATTCTTAATATAGTAAGTTTAATTTTTAATTGATTTACTATAAGAATATATCATTCATTAAACCTTTCAAAAAATCATTTTTACTTTTTTAAAATGTATACTCATACCCTTATAGAGAAATCATCAATAATAGAGAGGAAATAGAATCCACCCCATGAGCTACTATCCTTGTCAGACCCTATAGATATAATTGGGCGTACTTAAAAGGTCTATTAGAATTTTTCACACCACTTCCAAACTTCACCCCGTGTTGTTTGCCTTTCATGCAATTATCACAAAATTCTAGTTTATTTAGTTTCTCATTCCCTAACAAATCTTGTTTAACAAGTTCAACTGAATCTCCTTCAATGACATGGCCTAATTTCAAATGCTACAATTTTGAGTTATTAAGAAGGTTTTGAATAGTTACTGATAGATGATGGGGAACCATTCAAAATATATATAACCCACAAATTTTGGACATTTTAGCCATATTCAATGCACTATGGAAAATTTTCAACACACCACGTCCAATTCTAGTGTAGTACAAGGACATACCTCACATTGCATAGAAGAAATCCACGGTCATCAAACATTTTCATTTTGACTGTACGAATAACATGAAATTTGGAAAGCCTATTGTTTTAGATTCGAACGAATTCACCTTCTTACTCAAAAGTTTTAAAATACTATTTTTTTTGGACACATATGATATAACCAACCTGAAGCCATAATCCAACTCTTCTTTATATTCATAATGCTACCACTTGTGCACCAACACTTTCATAACCATCTTTATGTGAGGTAGCCACAATCTAAAGAGAATCACCCTTGCTCCATCTTTCAGGACAATCCTTGTTGAAGTGGTTGGTTTTGTGACAACTAGGACATTTAAACTCAAAATTATCAAAAACCTTGAACTTAGACTTAGAATTTGACTTGGATTTATTTCTTATATGATTTCCTCTAATATCATTGGTTTCTCTTGAGACACTTAAGTCTTCCATACTATCGTTAACCTTCAAATATTTCAACTTTGATAAGGGAATCTTTGAAGTGCTAAAGGGATATGGATATTGAACTTAACAAAGGCATAACCTTGTCCTCATCATCTATCTTTACCTTAACATTTTTTAAATAATCAATGATCTTGTTAAATTCTGTTAACGTTTCCTTAATAGATTTATTCTCTACCATACGACAAAAATAAAGTTGTTGTTTCATAAACAATATGTGAGACATTGAGTTGATCATATATAATAATACAATATTTACCATTTATCATATGCAATTTTTCTCTCGAGACTTCCATTAATAATTTATCTCTGAAGTATAATGTTATAACACATTTGACTGACTTTACCCATCATCTCACCCTTCTCAACTTTTGTTAGGTTTAGAGACGTCAATGTCTCTTCAATCAATGTGTCTATACATATTTGTTGATTTAGTATTACTTGTATCTTCACCTTCAAAACTAGTTGTAGTCACGTATAAACTTACCTTATTCCCCCCCCCCCCCCAATGATAACATATAGAAAATTATTTACCCTTACTTCTAACAAGAATTTCTACACCTTATAAAATTTGTCCTTACTAGACAAATATTTATAAATGCTAAAATCCTAAAGATCCAATACCCGTGAACTATTCGATTTATCGCTAGAAAACAACATTATTGAATCATGTTTATTTTTATCTATTTTTCTCACTTGAATTTTTAAGGCATATTACACCATTATGATAATACAGAAAACAAACAATTTAATGTCTCTTATAATTGATTGTCTTTTTATTTTTGGCTTCATTGTTTGATTTGTTTTCTTAACATAAATATTGCAGGAAGATATTAACATCATGAGGAATATGAATTTGGATGCTTACAGATTCTCAATCTCTTGGTCTAGAATTCTCCCAAGTTAGTAAAACATAAACCGATTAACTTCTTTTGTTATTTAATTTAACTTTAGACTTAAATAGTCTTTTTATCCCTATTTGATTTCCGTATCTGTATCTTTTTTTTCTCTCTAAAATAGTCCTTAAATATTGAGATTCATTTGATTTTCATCCCTAAAGTAAAAATCAAGAAAAAAGTCCACAGGTCTCCTGCGGATTTTCCTTCAGATTTTTCTACAGATTTTAACTTTAGGGACAAAAAAACAAAAACAAATTAACATTCAAGGACTATTTTAGAAAAGAAAAAAAAAGATACAAGGACAAAAATCAAAATCTCGTCAACTTACATGAACGAGTAGACTATTTAAGCCTTAACTTAATTATGTTGATTTTTTTCATTAATTATTTTCTTTCAATCTCAATAAATATCAATAGAAGGACATCTTAATGGAGGTATAAACCAGGAAGGAGTCAAATATTATAACAATCTCATCAATGAGTTATTGGCTAATGGTTAGTATTTTTTTTTCTTAAATTTTTTTTACACTTCACATTTTAACATTTCATACAACAACTTATGATAAACAAAATAAATAAAATATCAATATTGTAGGTCTACAACCATTTGTAACTCTATTTCATTGGGATCTTCCTCAAACTTTAGAGGACGAGTATGGTGGCTTCTTAAGCCCTCTCATCGTGTAAGTTATGCAAAAAAATGTTATTCTTTTCACATTATTGTGCATTAATTGATAAACAACAATACTACGCATTCATTTCATAATATATGATTAATTTTCAGAAAAGATTTTAAAGATTATGCAGAACTTTGTTTCAAAGAGTTTGGAGATAGGGTGAAACATTGGATTACTTTGAACGAGCCATACTCTTACAGCTTGGCTGGCTATGCATTTGGATTCTTTCCACCTAGTCGATGTTCTAAATGGTTGAATCCAAATTGCACCGGTGGTGATTCCGGGAAAGAACCTTACTTAGTTTCACATTACCAGCTTCTTGCTCATGCCTCAGCTGTTAATCTATATAAGAAGGAGTATCAGGTTTGTTATAATCTTGTTGAGTATTTTTTGTATCATTTAAACCATAATTCGTCTCAATAATATCAAACTACAATTTATGTTTAGCTGCAAAATAAGAACACTTGGTCGAATTGCGCAATCAAGCATTTTGTGATTTTTGTTACTAGTTGTTGTTCTAAGCAATTTAGATTAAAAAAATAATTTAAAGTTTTAAAGCATACTTCCAGATTGTTGTGTGATTGTAAAAAAATTATAATGACTAACAACCAAAACAATGATCTATATGCAGGAAACTCAAAAGGGTGTGATAGGAATAACCTTGGTGTCTAATTGGTTCATTCCATTTTCAGATAGGAAATTGGATCAAAATGCTGCTAAACGAGCAGTTGACTTCATGTTTGGGTGGTAAGTGCATATATTTGAATATTAATTAAGATATGTGTTGTGAATTGATATCGTCAAGAAAAAACCACAATATGAGATAAAAATTAAGTTTCTTGAATAAACCAAGAAACCCTATTAGGTTTTTACAAAGTATGGAGAAGAAGGAAGAATAAGAATTGGTTAAAACTGTTTTAAAATTCACTTACTCAATAAGGGTTAAAAGATTACAAGTGAATACCAACAATGAACCCCTCTCAACAACCTGAGAGAACTAGTCTATTTATAAACTACTAAGCTAATTTAGGCTACAAACTAACTTAACAATTGGGATTATAAGCAAGGCCCTATTTGACATGCTAACTTAAACATAAAGCTAACATATTTCGACAACATGCTTGAACAGACTTTGACTACAACATGCACTACTCTTGTCGAAACATGAAACTACCCTTGTCGGCACTAGAGTTCGATCCAAATACCACAAATCTCCACCTTGGAACAAACTCTACACTAACAAAGGAACAAATTAGCTTTCATCGTGCAATTTTATCAACGTCATACAGTGGAAAAACTTGCTACTCAACAATGTCATGGTGATCATATAAACAACATTGTCATTAGTCAAAACCTTCAGCACTGGACTTCTTCATGCTCGATTATCTATATGACGAAGTACAACCTCACATTGATGTGCTTGGTTTGCTCATGATAGGTTGAATTCTTCGACAAGTGTATTTCACTTTGACTATCAAATTTAATAGTGATAACTCGACCTTAAAGTTTTAGCTCCTTAGAAAAACCTTCAATCTACAATGCTTCTTTCACAGCTTTAGTGAGGGCAATATATTATGCTTCAGTGATTGATAAGGCCACAACCTTCTGAAGTGTCGCTTTTCGTGTGATTGATGATCCGAACATAGTGAACACATATCCATAAATAGATTTTATGGAATCCATACAACCTGCATAATCAGAATCAACAAATCCTTCGATTTCGATTTTTCAATCATCACCACAAGCTCCATCATAAATCAGGACTCTGCTCAGAGACCCATTTATGCACCTAAGAGTCCACTTTAATGATTGTCGGTGCACCTTCCCAGGATTGGCCATATACTTGCTTATGAGGCTCACTCTGTACGCTATGTATGGTCTCATACAAACCATATCATACATCAAAGAACCTACTATATTAGCATACAGAATGTTATTCATATAGGCTCTTTTGACTTCAGTACTAGGACTTTGAATCATACTCAACTTGTACTAAAGATTAGTCGGTGTTAGATCAGGCTTTGAATTCGACATACCAAACTTGTCAAGAATCTTCTTCAGGTATACCTCTTGAGATACGCATAATCTCGATTGCTTTATATCTCTCTGGATGTCAATCCCAAGAATTTAGGAGCCAGCTCCCAGATCCTCTAACTCCTTATCAAGTCTAGCCTTAACTTTCATAACATCTTCGACATTGTTGCTTGCTATGAGGATGTCATCCACATAAAGAAACAATATAAAAAGTGAACTTCTAGGATGAAATCTGAAGTAAACGCAGTGGTCGAATTTCCTCCTAGTGAAACCAATGTGTGTCGTGAACTTGTCGAATCTCCTATTCCATTGTCGAGGAGATTGTTTCAGGCCATACAAAGACATATTTAGCTTGCACACATAATATTCCTTTCCCTTTTCTGCATACTCTTCAGGTTGCCTCATCAGAATTGTTTTATCTATATCGGCATACAAGAATGTTATCTTCACATCAATTTGTTCAAGTTCTAGTCCAAACTTCACCACCATGGCTAACAACATTCTAATTGATCTCTGCTTTAAAACAGGTCAAAATACATCATTGAAGTCAATACCTACTTTCTGAGTGAACCCCCTAGCAACCAACTTTTCCTTAAAATGCTTCGACATCACTCCTTTGATTCATTCTTTAATCTTGAAGATCCACTTGCGGGTGACTAACCTGGCCCCTGCAGGTTTCTCAATAAGCTCACAAATGTTATTATTATGAAGAGATTTCATCTTATCATCCATGGCTTTCAGCCATTCAGTTTTATCTCGAATCCTCATAACTTCCTTATAGTCTGTAGGTTCTTCGTTCAGAACCTCACTTGTAGAGATTAAGGCATAAACTAAAAGATCTACATAACCAAGTCTCTAAGGAGACTTGGCGACTCTTCTCGAAATGTCTCTTGCCAACATGTATTCATTATCAGTATCCTCATCTACGACAACAACTTCTGCTTCTTCTTCGACTTCTCCTGGGTCACACAATTCAGCATCATTATTCTCCACCTCAACAGGAATCTCTTGTTGTTCCATCTCTTCTTGTTCCAGCTCTTCTTTAGGCGTCTTTATTCCCAAGGTTGTTGATGGACACCTATTTATCAAATATGTTGCAGTTACTGCAGCTTCTGCCCAAAACACCTTTTTTAGTCTTGCACTTACCAACATGCACCTCACCCTTTCTTGAATGGTTTGATTAAACCTTTCAGCCAAACCATTTTGTTGGGGAGTCCCTGCAGTAGTTATGTACCTTGAAATACTAGACACATCACAATAGCTATCGAAAGCCTCATTATAAATTTCAAGACCATTGTCAGTCCTCAACCTCTTGACCTTCATGCCAGTTTGCTTTTCGATCAGAGTCTTTCAACTTTTGAAAATTTCAAAAGTTTCATCCTTAGTCTTCTGGATGAATACCCATAACTTTCTGGAGTAATTATCAACTATGGATAGAAAATACTTTACACCTGAGTGTAATTTCTTGTAGACCTCCAAATATCAGAATGAATGTAATCAAGGGATCCATGTGTTCTCTTTTTACTTTTGCTAAACTTTATTATACAAGATTTACTAAATACGTACACAAGGTTCACAAAACTCCAATTTTTTGACCTTGTCACCACCTAATAGATTTTGTTTCGACAATTCAACTAGACCTCTTTCACTGACAAGGCCAAGTCTCTTGTGCCATAGCTCAGTCTTCGACACAGTTTTTGTGGATGCCACGTATGCTGAACCAATTACAACCTCAGCCTCAAGGGTATACAAGCCTTGTTTCTTCGCGTCTCTCAAGACTTCCTTCGACCCCTTCATTACCCTTAGAATGCTTTGCTTTCCTTTGAAAACATATAGTTTCTTTTCGAATTCACCAAGAGAAATCAAATTCCTTTTAAGATCAGATACATACCTAACATCAGTCAATAGCCTTATTGACTCATCATGAAGCTTGAATCTCACATATCCAATACTTGTAAATTTGAAAGCTTTTTTTTCCCATCAATATTGATCCACCATCTTGATCATACAATTCCTCAAACACGTCTCTCTTTGGAGTCATGTTTGAAGTACACCCTGAATCCATAATTCACTCCTTGCTAGAGTCGCTGCTTGAAACCATCAGGACATCAGATGATTCATAACTATCTTGCACAATGGATGTATTACCATTATCCTTTCCACCATGATTGTTCAGTCGATCAGGGCATACTTTTCTTATATGACCCTCCTTCTTACAAAGATAAAACTTAATAGTAAAATCATTACCACCATAAGAATTACGTAGAACTTTACCCTTCTTCTTTTCAAACCTACCATTTTTCTTCAAGAATTTCCCCTTAACAGACAAACCTTCACCAATAGAAGATGACTTGTGCTCCTTTCGCTTATTTAAATCCTTATAGTACAAGGAAAATTGAACATCTTCAAAGGTCAACGAATCTTTTCCATATAAGAGAGTTTCTTTGAAGTGATCATGAGACTTAGGTAAAGAGCACAACAACACTAACGCTTGATCTTCATCATCAATCTTGACCTCAATATTTTCAAGATCAAGAATCAACTTATTGAACATATCCATCTACTCAGCCAAGGCTTTTTCTTCGCTCATCTTAAATAAATACAAAGTTTGCTTCAGGTAGAGATAACTAACCAACGATTTCTTCATGTACATACCTTCAAGTTTCATCCACACACCAGTTGTTGTTTTCTCCTTTGAAACCTGTCGGAGAACCTTATCACAATGCTCAATACAATGCCATTGTTGGATTTTTTGACCATCGTTGTCTTCTCCTTCTCTGATATGGCATCATCCATCTTCTCTGATCCTTTCAACGCTCTAAAAAATCTTGTTGAACAAGAAGGACTTGCATATTCAAGCGTCACATGCCGAAATCATTCACACCGGTGAGTTTCTCAATTTTATACTTTGTTGACGACATCTTCTCCTTCATGCTCACCGCACCAGTTTGTTGTAAATTGACGTCGTCAAGAACAAAGCATAATATGAGATAAAGATTGAGTTTCTTGAACAAACACAAGAAATCATATTAGGTTTTACAAAAGATAGAGAAGAAGGAAGTAGTAGAAGAAGAAGAATTGGTTAAAACTGTTTTTCCATTCACTTACTCAATAAGGGTTCAAAGTTTACAAGTGAATACTAATAATTAATTTCTCTCAACAACCTAAGAGAACTAGTCTATTTATAGACTAGTAAGCTAACTTAGGCTGCAAGCTAACTTATCAATTAGACTTACAAGGCACAATTTGACATGCTAACTTTAAACACAAAGCTAAAATATTTTGACAACATACTTGAACAGACTTTGGCTATAACATGCACAACTTTTGTTGAATTATGAAACTATCCTTACCGACATTAGAGTTCGGTCTAAATACTACAATAAATTTAATATTGTTTTGATTGAAATACCACAATATCATTTATTTATTTTTATTGTGAGAATTTACCATGCTTCTCAAAAATACAAATTGTTCTTCATTGGTTTTTTTCTTCTTAATTTGTAACAATGATTACAGGTTTATGGAACCACTTACATCAGGAAAATATCCACAAAGCATGCGTTCTCTAGTTGGAAAACGGTTACCAAAATTCTCTAAAGAGCAAGTCAGACTACTTAAAGGGTCATTTGATTTTCTTGGACTAAACTATTATACCTCTAACTATGCTACTAATGTGCCTCAACTTAAAAATTCTAAAGGCAATTACAACACAGATTCTCTTACTAATCTTACAAGTAAGAATGTATTTAATTGTTTATTATCATAAATTCTTTTATGTATTTTAAATTCGACGATAATATTAAAATTTTGTTTTATGAACGAAGCTGAACGCAACGGAATTCCTATAGGTCCAAAGGTACGTTATGTATATGACATTTTTTAAAAAAATTACAAATATGAGTCTTTTTATAATTCCCATGTGGTTTGATTTATGTTTATACAATTATCATCTTTATAGGCAGCTTCAAATTGGTTATTTGTTTATCCTAAAGGAATTCAAGAACTGTTACTCTATGTCAAGAAAATGTACAACAATCCTTTGATTTACATTACTGAAAATGGTAAATGCATCTTACTTCATATTCAGTATTTCTTAAATGTTGTATATTATATAAAATAAATAGAATATTGAATCCATAAAAATTTTGCTAAAAATTTGTTTCTGATTTGTGTATGATCATAATTTTTTAAGAAAACTTAATTTGTAGGTGTCGATGAGTTTAATGATCCAAGACTATCACTAGAGGAAGCTCTTATAGATACTTTTAGAATCGACTATTACCGTCGTCATCTCTATTATGTCAAATCTGCAATCAGGTAAGCAAATTATCTTTTATACATTTTAACAAATAGTTTATTTTTTATAACTAATTTAATTTTTTTTTTACTATTAGGAATGGCGTAAATATAAAAGGATATTTTGCATGGTCATTATTGGACAATTTTGAATGGTCAACAGGGTATACAGTACGCTTTGGAATTAATTATGTGGATTACAAAAATGGTTTGAAAAGATATCAAAAATCATCTGCAAAATGGTTTAAAAATTTTCTCAAAAGATATTAGATTTTCTATACATGATATTTCTAAAAAATAATGTAATGAAACATATGAACCAAGTTTAATTTTAAATAATATTGTGATCCTTTATTCTCAAAATAACAATTATAATATTGAGTTGTGACTTATTGTTAAGACACACTTTTTAATTTTTGAATTTATAGTCTAATATTGAATAATATAGTAAGACATACATTGTAAGTCCTTTTGAGGGCTTTTTTTTTTGTAGGACTTATTTTCAATAATTTTGTAAATTAAATGTGTAGTTGATTAAAGAAGATGTGTTAGGGCATAATCAATCATTCATGTGTTGCAACAAATTTGAATTTATAAATAGGTAATATTTGTCAAGTGTTGCAGAATGTAAAACAATACAAAATTTAGTAAAAATATTGTTGTAGGCGAAATAGTGCAACATTTGAAATGTGTTGTTGTAGACGAAACAGTGCAACATTTTAGAAAAGTGTTGTTGAAAGTGTGTTTCATCAAGGATTGCAACCTTATGAAACAACATCACTTTGATCTATAAATTAAGCATTTTGAATTCAATAAAATACATGAGAAAAACATATTCTCTTCATACAAAATTTTGGATTTTATCTTCCTTACATTTTGGTTTTTATCTGTCTTGTACAAACTCAAATATATAGACTGAATTATTCTGGGTATTCTTACTTAGAAATATTAGAATATTAATAGTAATTCATATTTATTTAGTTGTACTATTTTCTTAGCCCCTAAGTTTGTTAGAGGGTATTTTAGTATTTTATCTTATTCTAGTAACCCTAGTTTTAGCTTATAAATAGGGTGACAATCATTGTAACTTTTATCATGTTTTTGTAGCCGTCATTCTTAATAGAATATTTCCTTTGTTCACCATTTATTCACCTTTGCACCAACAATTGGTATCTAGAGCTCCGGTTCAGATTCATTGGGAAACACGAGTGAACGTGAGGTCTTGTGTGTTTGATTTTGATTCTTAGATTCGTGTTGAATCTTGAACAAAATCTGATCAGAATTTTATTCTGTGGGTTGGGAAACACTGTGTGAGAAATCTGAGTGTATTGTGCAAGGTGAAGATGAACGGAAACGACAACATGAACACCAAGCTTCCAGTATTTGACGGTAAAAACTAGAATCGTTGGATGATCCAAATGCGTGTACTGTTTGGTGCTCAAGATGTTTTAGATCTTGTCACTGATGGTTATGTTCCGGTAGCAGCAGATGCAACAGATGAACATAAAAACGCGCAGAAGGAAGTAAGGAAGAAGGATCATAAAGCATTATTCTTTATTCATCAATGTGTTGATGTAAATGTGTTTGAGAAGATTGCAGATTCAACGACAGCAAAGGCTGCATGGGACACACTGGTTAGATGTTATAGTGGTGACGCATCAGTGAAGAAGGTGAAGCTTCAGTCCTTGAGAAAGCAATATGAGAATCTCAACATGAAGAATAATGAGAAAGTTTCTGAATACATCTCCAAAGTGATTCTGATCACTAATGAGATGAAGGCGTGTGGAGAAACTCTTTCTGAAGAAACAATCATGGAGAAGGTATTGAGATCCCTTACCTCTCAATTTGATTACATTGTGGTAGCAATAGAACATTCCAAAGATCTGAGTACCATGAGAATTGAAGAGCTGCAGAGCAGTTTAGAAGCGCAAGAGTTGCGTTTGACTGAGAGAACTTCTGAAAGGGAAGTAGAGCAGCAGGCTCTGAAAGCAACTTCTGATAGGAGGTATCAGAAGCAGTCAGAAGCCAAGAGAAGATCTGATGGTGGTCAGAAGTCAGAAAGCTCAATCTCTGATAGGCAAAAGAATGCTCAGAAGGGAAAAGAGAAGTATGACAAGAAGAAGATCCAATGTTACTGTTGTAAGAAGTTTGGTCACTTTGCTAGAGATTGTTGGTCAAACAAGGAGAAGAAATCAGAAGAAGCAAATATAGCCAGAAGTTCTGATGACGAATCTGTGCTATTGATGGCCTCTGAATCTGATGATATGGATCTGACAGACTGGTGGTATATGGACACTGGCTGTTCAAATCATCTTACTGGAAACAAGAAATGGCTGGTTGACTTTGACTCTGAAAAGAGGACAAAGATCAGATGTGCTGATGACAAATATCTTAATGCAGAAGGTATGGGAAATGTCAGAGTGACTCTGAACAATGAGAAAACAACATTGATTCAAAACGTGTGGTATGTACCTGGCATCAGAAGCAATCTGATGAGTGTGGGACAATTAATTGAGAAAGGTTTTTCAGTTACCATGAAAGATAATCTTCTGAAGCTGTATGACTACAATCAGAAGTTGATTATGGAGTCAGAACAGGGAAGGAATAGAACATTCAAGGTGAATGTCAGAACTACAGACTCAGAATGTCTTAGTGCAACATGTGCTGAGAAGGAGAGTGAGCTGTGGCACAGAAGATTTGGTCATTTGAATTTCAGAAGCCTAAAACATCTGAATTCAAAGAAGCTGGTACATGGAATTCCTGCAATTAAGAAGCCTGAGAAGTCATGCAAAGTTTGCATGGAAGGAAAACAACCACGTTTGCCATTTGCGTCAGAAGTTGCTCCAAGAGTAAAACATGCCTTGGGAGTTGTACATTCTGATGTGTGTGGTCCATTTCCAGTAGCATCAATTGGAGGGAATAAATACTTTGTGTTATTTGTTGATGAATTCACAAGAATGACATGGGTATCCCTTATTAAGTTCAAACACGAGGTGTTTGATGAATTCAAGAAATTCAGAATGAAGGCTGAGAATCAGAGTGGTCAGAAGTTGAAGATTCTTAGAACTGACGGTGGATGTGAGTATAACTCCAAAGAGTTCCAGAAGTTCTGTGAGGAGAATGGAATTGAGCATGAGGTTACTGCTCTTTATACCCCTCAACACAATGGCCTTGCTGAAAGAAGAAACCGCACTTTGCTTGATATGGTGAGAAGCATGCTAAAGGAGAAGAAGCTTCCTCAGAAGCTCTAGGGAGAAGCTGTTTCCACTGCAACGTATGTACTCAACAGATGTCCTACGAAGAAGTTGAAGGAAATAGTTCATATGCAAAAGTGGACTGGAGACAAGCAAAGTGTTAGTCATCTGAAGGTGTTTGGTTCTGTTTGCTATAAACATGTTCCAGAAGCCAGAAGACAGAAGCTGAATGATAGAAGCAAAGTGATGATTCTGATAGGGTACCATAGTACAGGTGCATACAAGCTCTATTGTCCAGAAACCAATAAAACTGAATTCAGCAGAGATGTGATTGTGAAGGAATCAGAAGTTTGGAATTGGGATAAGTATCAATCTGATTCTGATGTTAGAACTTCTGAAGAAAGGTCAGAGTTAAGAATTTCTGAAGTTGAAGTAAACTCTGACGTTGATTCTGACTCTGATAGTGATTCTGACTCTGGAGAAGACTCAGAAGATGAAGGTGACTCTGATGATCCAGACTCTGATGGTAATCCAGATTCTGGTGGAAATGCAGACTCTGAAGATGGCCAAGACTCTGAAAATATGCCAGATCTTGAAGATGGTCAAAGCTCTAGAGGAAGTCAACCATCTGAAGCTGGAAACTCTAAAGCTCAAGACTTTGAACAAGTTCAGAGACCACAAAGAATCAGAAGCGTTCCCAGAAGATTTGCAGAATATGACATGTTGCAAGACACTGAAGTAGACTCTGAAGGAGAAGTTATTCAGTGTGCCATGTTAGTAGACTCTGAACCTATAAGTACAGAGGAGGATCTTAAGCAGAAGCTCTGGCTGAAGGCCATGAAAGAAGAACTTGATGCTATAGAGAGAAACAAGACTTGGAAGTTGACAGAACTTCCAAAAGACAAGAAAGCCATCAGCGTCAGATGGGTTTTCAAGCAGAAGTTAAAGCCAGATGGCTCAATTGGAAAACATAAAGCAAGGTTGGTAGCCAGAGGATTTCTACAAAAACTTGGGTTGGATTACTCTGAAGTGTTTGCACCTGTAGCAAGACATGAAACAATCAGAATGGTGATTGCAATAGCTGCTAACAGGAATTGGCCTCTGATGCATTTAGATGTAAAATCTGCATTTCTGAACGGTCCATTAGAAGAAGAAGTTTACGTGTCACAACCTCCTGGATTTGTGAAAAAGAATCAGGAAGGGATGGTGTACAGATTATACAAAGCTCTATATGGATTGAAACAAGCGCCCAGAGCTTGGAATCATAAGATTGATTCATTTTTCAAGAAGCAAGGCTTTCAGAAATGTGAGATGGAGTACGGTGTCTATGTTCAACATACTTCTGAAGGCAATATGACTCTGGTATGTTTATATGTTGATGATATACTGCTGTTGCACCCCAAAATTTGACCAACATTAATTTACCCATTAAGTGTTTGAAGTTTAATACCTTCATCAGAAAGTTCAAGAGATCCTCAGAGGAGTTGGTTGAAACCAAGGTTGTGTGCTTCATAGCTTGAGAGTTGTGGGAGCTCCTCAGATGATTCTGAGACTATGAGAGTGAACTTGAAGATTTGAGAAAGCCTATGAGATGTCTTGAAAGTCATCATGAAGCCCAGAGAGGTCGTTATGCAAGAATTCAGAAGATTCAACCATGACTGGTAGAATTAAGGTTTTGACTGGGTCAACCCTAGGTCAACTGAAGATTTGGAGAAGGCTGAGACCTAATCCAAGGGCCATGAGATCATGGAATGATGTGTGGAGATGTTATAAAGATGATTCCTAGACCAACTCATCATGATTGAGGAGTTTGAGAAGTTTTAAGTCAGGGTTTCTAAGGATGGACAGTGTAAAAACCCTAGTTTGATCCCTATCTTCCAGGCAGTTTTAGCTCAAGATGTGATTGTCATCTCATCTTCCCCACAACATGAATGTTGTAGAGCTTGTTCTTAGATTTAATTTGAGTGGTACAAGTCCTTGATAGGATTTGCAGAGCTCAAGTTATGGTTTTGACATATTACAGGTCATCTGAGGTGTGTGAATCTGGGTCCTTGAAAGTCACCCAACTTGCAGACA